AAAAAAAAAAAAAAGATGGCATTCTTAAGGTTTCTGGAGTAAGTCTTTAGAGATAGCATAAAATGTTTACTTTACAATGATAAAGATAAACGTTTTAACAGAGCAATAACTTTACAGCCACTTAAACTGTAATGTTCATAATACACTTTAAAATAAATATTCTGATAAGTTCAAAAAAGCATGGGCATATCTAGTTTCTTGTTTGTAGAAATTAGATGTTTTATTGAATTTTTGAGAGGAAAATTAAAGTACAAAATCTGCATATATGATTTGAAAACAATAAAATTAACTCTATGGTTATCTTTCAATATTCAAAATAGTATTTCTAACAAATTATAATATTCTATAAAACTAAGTGTTATTTAAACACTAGAAAGAATGATATTTATTAATTATTGTTGTTGTTAAGTGCCATCAAGTTGGTTCATACCCATATTGATCTTGCATAGAGTTTCTGAAGAGTGACTGGTGAGCTCAAATGACTGACCTTGCAGTTCAAAACGACTTTGCAGTCCAGCACATTAACCCACAGTGCCACACCAGGACCTCATTCGTTATTTACCCCTAAAGCGACTTTTAATCACGTATGCTTTTTTATGTGACTTAACATATGGTCAGCATCATATATATGCTTTTGACTTGTGGTCTTTAGGACCACATCCTTTTATGTAAAGACTATTTATTGGAGTTACAGAATGAGGGAGTTTCAGTATATAGGAAAAGCTAACAAAATAGTGGATTTTCACTTTGAAAATTAAAGAACTATGCAATGCCAGTTAGGTTGTTTGGGGAAGTTTCTGCTTTGAAAATACTCTATAAGAAGGTTTTTTTTAGGCAGGTTAGGGGCAAATTCCCTCAGTAAGATCCTAACCAGGTTATTTTACACTGAACTTGTCTCAAGACTATCTGGGAATTCTAGCAGGATTCCAAGCCAGAGATACATTTAGTTCGAATATGCATTTTTCTTAAAAGCAAAGTATAAATTATTTTTAGGTTGTGCTATATTTGATGTCAAGAACAAAATATCCTAGAATTTGGCTGGGATTAGGAATGGGTCATGAGAATCAGCATATGCTAAGGGTGACTGATTATACTTCTTTGAGACTACATGGGAAGAAGATACAAGCTGTAGCACAGTAAGAGCGCCTACTTTTAATAAAGTTTGTGGTTCATACATACCAGTTTTTAAAGCAAATATCAAGTCATCAAACTCCTGGGATTCCTCATCGGCTACCAGTGACCCCTGGCCATATCCTCCAGAGGTAGGAAATGTGGCGCCATTTTGTGGACTTGGCTTTAAGTCTGGACTGGCCTGACTGGCTTGCTGGAATGATGCTCTCTCCCAGTCAGGTGGTACCTTTTTGGGTTGGGGTAGAAAGAAAAGGAAATCATAATATGAGTCATAAATATTCATTTTTTTTATCTTCATATAACATTTCAATGACCTAATAATGAAAGCTCTATTGAACTCTAGAAATTAAGATTTTAATTTTATCTTTGATTCTTAGAAAATTATGTCTCTCCATGAGACAATCTGAAGTCCTGGTGTGGTGGTTGTAGTATAAGTACTACTTGCTAAAAGTTTGGTGGTTCAACCCCACGAGCCACTCCTCAGAAACCCAAAACAGGGTTGCTATGAGTCAGCACCAACTTGATGGCACTTAACAACAGTACTGAGAAAATCTAATCTGGTGATTCTAAGCAATTTCTCTTTTGGGATTACTTGTAGATTTCTATGTGTGAGGAAAGAAAACTACTTTTTTTTAAACTCAAAGAATATATGTATATATTTTTGTAGGAAGTATGCAAAGAAACATTAAATATAAGAAATGGAGAAGAACCTTCCTAATTCTTAATTTAAGATGCAACATGTATATTTCAAATGAGTCAGTTTCAACTCATAGTGATCCTGCATGGGGTTTCCAAGGAGTGGCTGGTGGGCTTGACCTATCGAGCTGTTGGTTAGTAGTCCAACACTTATCCTTCAGCATTACACCAGGACCCCAAGATACAGCGTAATATTTAAAATATAGTGTGGTGCTTTAGGATAAGCACTGGACTGCCAACCCCCCAGCTAGCCACTCCTTGGATAGACTATATCAGTCACTATGATTCAGAACTAACTAGACAGCACTTAACAACAACAATAGGCATCTATAAGAACACAATGATTTTTTTTAAGTTATTTTGTCACATTCTAAGCTTCTCCTTTTAAAAATTAATAAATAAAAAGATAATTCTATCCTGAAATAATGAAATATATTCATTTCCTTCTAGGTTACTGGTAAACATACCCTTAATCCTTCCTTTCCTGTGCTTTCCCTCTCTGCAAGGTTTTTAGACTGTCTCTGACAGTCCCTCACTGACAGCTGGAGGAAAGCCAATTCTAAGCCTTAGGAATGTAAAGCATGCATTAGGATATGCCATTGGGCAACACCCAAATGAACACTTAAGTAGTGGACTGAGCCAGGAACTGTCACAGCTGCTGTCTCCCAAGATGAGGGTTTCTGAGAGATTTCAGGGACACCTCAGATTGAGAAAATTGACCTGAAAACTTTAGACAGAAACCTGAGAGAAGACCTTAAAAAATGGTACTAAGAAGTTGAACATCTTTAGCAACACTGTCTAATAGAACTTTCTATGATGATTAAAATGTTTTATAACTGTGTTCTCTAAAAGAGCAGCTACAAGGCACATGTGGCTAAAGAGCATTTGAAATGCTACTAGTGTGACTAAGAAACTGGATTTTTAATGTTATTGAATTTTAATTAGTTTAATTAGTTTTTATAGCCATATGTAGCTGCTATTGTTAGCTGCTGGTGAGTTGGTTCCTGACTCATGGAACCTTCTTGCACAAAGGGTTTTGTTGTGATCCATAGGGCTTTCATTAGCTGATTTTTAGAAGTAGCTAGGTAGGTGTTTCTTCCTAGCTTGTCTTAGTATGAAAGTTCTGCTGCAACCTGTTCAGCATCACAGCCATATGCAATCCTGTACTGTATACGGAGTCCTGGTGTGGCACCATAGGTTAACGCACTACACTGCAAGGTCAGTTTGAACCACAAGGTTGGCGGTTCAAGCTTCCTGGTTGCTCCTCATAAACCTCATATACAGAGTCGCTATGAGTCGGAGCCAACTCGATGGCACTTAACAACAATTGATAGGCAAGTTGTGGGTGCACTTAAGATACATTGGCCAGGAATGAATCTTGGTCTTCCACATGAAAGGTGAGAATTCTACCACCACTACACTTTATATGAATCTAACGATAAGCACCGGACTTCAATCCACAAGGTCTGCAGTTCAAGTCCACCAGCTTTATGCTTCCTCAAAAATTTAAAGCTACAGAAACCCTATAAAAAGCCACTATGAAATGGAATTAACTTGGCAGCACTTAACAACAACAACAACGGTTAGCATGGAGTCTTGGTGTGGCATGGTAGGATAAGCACTGGACTGAGAACCACAAAGTCAGTAGTTCTAATCCACCAGTAGCTCCTTAGAAACCCTATACAGCATCACTATGAGTCAGAACTGACATAACTGCATTTAACAACAACATTGTTTAGCATATAAGACATTTCTGACACAGACAAATGTTGGCTGAGTAGACATTAAAAAGATGATTCCTTTTTTACTTTGAAGATTCACTCATGAGTAGTTGATTCTAAAGATACCCTTATTTCTATTGGTACCAACTCTGATGTTAAAATGATACTTTTTTTGGAGGGTAGAGAAATGGCACTAAACATTTAAGACTGCTATAGACATATCCTAGCTTTTAAATATTGTACTTGGTTTGTAGTGCTCTAGGATAAGCACTGGACTGCTAATCTCAAGGTCAGTGGTTTAAACCCACTAGCTGAACCTATGGATTGCTATGAGTCAGAACTGATCCATCGGCATTTAAAAACAACAAAAATATAGATAGATATATCCTAACTTTTAAACATTATACTTGATTTGTGATCACTGTACTTACTTTTAAGCTGGCATGAATAAAAATGATTCTCTACCTTGCCATGGAAGAGAAAACAAACAAATCAACAAACCAAAACCGATTTGGTTGTTATCATTTGTTTGTTTACCTTTCAGATGGCTATACCTGTGATTTTCAGTGTGCAACCACAAATACTGTTTCCCTTGGATCTTTAATTCATAGAAGCAATATGAACTATGCAAGGAACAGTAGCCAAGCACACCTTGAGGACTGCAGATAACTGTCTGCATTATCATCTCTTACTGGTCAAATGTTTTCAGAAATGTTTTAAAATGTGAGCAACAGTTCCAGTAGTATGTGCAACTGACAGGTGGGTGCCAAGGTGATATAAACATAGGAAATCAAACTGATGTGGATAGGATGCAGGCCAGTGGGAGGTAGATTTTATAAAGGAAATCCTGACTAGATTTTCCACTAGTGCTTGCTGAAGCACTTTCCTGAGTCTTTGTTCAGAAATATTTTCTGATATTTAAATCAAAATAAATTTTATCCTATTTTGCTTTCACTGAGAGCTTGTTGGGACTGTGGTAATGAGTCAAACACTGTGAAAGTATTTAAAATCTTAGCAGCATTTAAAAAAAAAATTTTTTTTTAAATTGTGGACTCAGTCATTGCTGTGGCAGATGTGGAAGATTTTGAAGAAGGAGATGCCAAATTGTGTTGTGTCATTTCCCAGTACAAATGGCTGGTACAGACCTCCACTAACAGAGCACAAGGGAAAGAAGAATTAAATAACAGGTGTGATACCACAGTACCTGTTGCCATGGAGTCCATCCTAACTCTTAGCAACCCTAAAGCACAGTGTAGAACTGCCCCACAAGGTTTCTGAGGCTATAATCCCTACTGAACCAGATTGCCACATCGTTTTATTTGTGTGTGAGTGGCTAATGGGCTCCAACTGGTGATTTATGGATACCACAGTAAATGAATCAAATATGGTAAAAAAAAAGAGGATCCCAAAGTGAAAGAGAGACAGAAGGAAGAACTTAAAGGGATTGAAGGGTTGGGGATAGGTGGTAGAGTGGGGTTGTGGTGGGCAGGGTAGAAGTGGCCATTGAGGTGGTGGGGACAGGTACCTCTTCCATAGCGCTGATCAGATTCTGGGTGGACTTGCTGATTTCCCCTCCAGAAGGAGGCATTCCACTCCCTGGAGTAAAGAAGGCCGTGCTGGGCCCTGGGTGCCCATTCATTTCCACCGTGTAGCTGGCCTTCATGGGACAGCACATCTGGTTATGTAGAATGAAATAAACCACAAAAACATAAAGCCCCTGCAAAAGAAAAGAACACCATCAAGTCAAAGGCTGCCATGCTGGAATGGCTGAGAAATAAAAGTGGTTTTATGTGTAAAGGATTTCTATTTATCAGCAGTCTCCAAATTCTACCAAAAGCTGAGAAATCCGTGACAGGCTAGGACACTAGCAAGATGCCACTGTAAATTTCTGGATGTAACAAAAAAGTTAAAGTGTTATTTAGAACACTTAAAAAAACTGTCCTCTGGCTGAAAAATTTTCCACCCTTGGTTAAAACTTATTCATAAGTAACTGGGAAATTAATACATGGAAACAGAATTGTAGACATACATGTTTTTAATAGTTGCATATTTTGTTTTAGAATGTAAATCTCTTTTTTTTTTTTTTTCCCACTCAGGCATATATAATAAATTACATCTCCAAAGGGCTAGAATGTAAATCTCTTGACTTACAAAAAAATTACCATTTCTCTCTCTCTCTCTCATTTTTTTTTTCCCCAGCAAAATAGGTTAAATGGAATATTAATTAATGTTCCAAGCCAGTTATACATTTCTGGGAGGGCAGCACTAATCAAGTCTCCTGATTTCACTGACATATCTCATCTACTTACCTCATTTGGGAATAAAATCATTAGATAGGGATACAGAAGAATCTTGTGGATTGTAATATTTAGCAAGCTTTGCTTCTTATTAAATGTTACACAAGAACAACAAAGCAATCTTGTATGTTCTTAAAGACCTACTAGTCCTTTAAATTCTTTTGCAATCATGTCAAACTTGACAATTGCTCTGCTTTCGTCACAGAAAGCAAGTCAAATTTTGTATTTGTGTTCCGGCTATTGTCTACACTGGCTCTCCTTCATGACTTCTACAAGGAATCTACTGTATACTTCTAATAGTGCTCTATAAAACTTGTTAATTTTGACCTTTACACTTAATCAATTGAAGTACATAAAATTGTGCCTTTTGTATTTATTGATTCTGGTGCTCAAGTTTTGAGAGGACATAAGAATCTCTTAAGTTACTAAAATATTTAAATTAATACACAAACATAAAGGCAAGACACTGAACTAGTTTATTATATATGAAAAAGAGTTAATATGAACAGTTTTTAGAAAATGCAAATAAACAGTTATTTTTAGGAAATTTGTATTCTCTCATGGTTCCTAATTATTCTAGGAGTATAGAAGCAAAAATGTACTTGTGGGCCTGAAACTTGCAACTGCTGGTATTAAAAATAAAAAGTCTCAAAAAAGGTGGGACTTGATGGTGGATTAGGGAGAGACCCCATGCAGAATAAGACAGAATACTGGATAAAGCAGGTTCAGGGAATGGCCCCAGAACTCTGAACTACATATAAAAGAATATTTAGAAATATCCAAGGTTTACTGCCAGTGGGATATGTAGCAGAAGCAAGAAAAGTGGTGTTTTCAGATTTGCAGTGGCCAGTGAGCGCCAGCACAGTCATCTTGAGTGGGATAGAGCAGATTCAAGATTTAGAAAGGTCTGACCAATCGCCAGAGATAAAGGTGAGAACGTATTTTAAATTTTTTCTGTTCCTTTATGTTTTTCTGTCTGCACACATCCACTCATGTGACTAGAGGGGGTGCCTGAGCAAGTGGACACCTCCCTCCCTTGGAGGGTTCTACTATTTACATGCAGGGATTTGTTCAGCAAAAATCACTGGGCCTAGGAAGGAGGCGTCAACAGGAACAACTTAGAATGGGAGGGTCTTCCAAAATGGCTCTGGTCAACCCTTGGCTGTTTCTCACTAGAAGAAACACCTGAATGGACTTGAGGGAAGGAGAGAGAGGCAAAAAAGGAGAAAGGTCTAAAACTAAATCTTGAGTTAGATCATAAACAGCGATGGTAACATCTTGAAATTTCTCAGGTGGCCTTGATGGCAAGAAGCTGAAAAAGGGGTGTTAAAGTCTTACTCATATTTTGCTACTCTGTGTGTGTGTGTGTGTGTGTGTGTGTGCGGCAATTACAGACTTTAGTGTCCAAACTGTTTTCTTTTCTTGGTCTCCCTATTACCTTGGGGGGGGGGGGGCAGCTCTTTCTCTCTCTACATTACCCAATAAGAGAAGTAATTGCAGTCATATAGCCAAGTTACAATCACATCCCATAAAATTCCACCATCCAGGCAAGAGCCAATACCAGCTGCTAGCCACCAGAGTCACATAGATAGCCAACACTTTCTAAAATTACCCTGAGTTGAGTAATATGAGAAATGATCACATCTCCTGATCACATCTACCAGGTGGTAATCAGAAAGTTTAATAATACATCAACATGTTGTTGTTGTTGTTGTTAAGTGCCGTCGAGTCGGTTCCGACCCATAGCGACCCTGTACAGGGTTTCCGAGGGTGTAAATCTTTACGGGAGTAGAAAGCCTCATCTTTCTCCCGTGGAGCGGCTAGTAGTTTCGAACCGCTGACCTTAAGGTTCGCAGCCCGATTCGTAACCACTATGCTACCAGAGCTACATCAACATATATTCATCTAATTATTGAAAATGCCCAAAAAGAAACAGAAGATCTCAGCTCATGTACAGAAATAAGATAGAGTAGTTGAAACAAATGAACTGGAGGTAAACCTAGAATTCCCATTGGAAGGAGGGCAAGCTTTGGAATTGCCTGATAAGGTATTCAGGAAAATATTGAGGTGCATCCAAAAGCGCCACAGAAAGGTAGAGAAAAATAAGGAAGAAGTTAAGAAAATGCTACAGGAACAATCAAATCATTGGAAACAATTCAACACCTGCAAACAGAGGTCCAAACAATCAATAATAAAATATCAGGAAAAAAAAAAGTTAAAAGTCTACTAGAAAACACTAGAACTTCAGAATTTATAAGCAACTTTTAATGAAAAATTAAATTATGATAATTGAAAAGTAAGCATGCTCTAGTATTTGATCTTTGCAGCTACATCTAAAATAAGGTAATAAATTTCACTCTTATCCCTTTGTGCTAGAATAAGCCATTCACAGTTTGGCTTCTGTTTTAATAAATATGTCTTTAATTCAATACTTTGTTGTTGTTCTTGTTAAATGCCATTGAGTTGGACCGACTCATAATGACCCTGTATAGGGTTTCCTAGGAGCAGCTGGTGGGCTTGAATTGCTGATCATGTGGTTCACAGTCCAGTGGTGATCCTACAACTATTAAAAATATATTAAAATAAAATTGTTTAAAGAATGCTATAAAATAAGTCAGTTATTTCTTTGGAATTAGTGTGTTTTTTTGGGGAGGGGATTACAATTTTAAATTATGTAGGGGAAGATAATTAGTTCCATGTACAAATGATGTTATGAATGCAAGCAGTAACAAATCTTCCTGAAAACACACATCTACATCCAACTTTTTTTTTTACACAACTAATTTTTCACATGGATAAGACTTAATACCATTGGCAATGGCCATAGGGGGGGAAAAAAAAACAAGGGAAAAATTAAACTGTAATCCTTAAAAACTGTGTGAATGTCTTTGATTTATTTCAGGATTTCTGTAAGTGCTGTGAAGTAACAGAGTAAAAGCTAGATCTGGAAATTAAAACCATGTTTTCAGACCCATCTCTAAGGACCCATTTGTTAAAACAACATATTTTCTCTCTTGTTTGTTTTCATATTTAATATTTAGTGCTTCAGGAAAGGAACTGCATGCTGAAAATAACTCGCATGTGAAAACTGCATTTTTTTTTCTTGAAAGATACAAGTATGTATTAAATTCTCTAAATCGTATAGATGTACCCCAGGAAATATAAACACTGTTAAAATAGACAGAAAAGTATATATAAGTGCAGACTGTGTGACATTTGCCTGTGTCCAGATCAGGCTGGGCAAATATAGAAAAAGGACCTTCATAATCCCAAGTACTTAGCTGTGGAGGTTTCTCACCTAGAGTAAAAACAAGTTCCCTTTCCAAATACTACATAGTAAATCTTAGGCTCTCTTCTTTCAGCAAGCATTAATTTTTAAAAGAAAAATCTAGAATCTTAAATTATTCAACCCATTATTGTTCAACACCCACTGTGTGTACTGTTGGGCAATGAGATACAAAGATAAAATTCTTGTTTTCCAATTGCTTACAGATACGACAACATCTTACAACATAACAAGTTCATTGTTTTGGATGCAGGAGATTCATTATCTGTTGTTTCTGATTATTACTTAGTGAATGTCCAAAGAAAATAAAAGTCCCTTCAATGCATCGTTGGTTTGGTTATTTTATTCTCTTCTACTGCAACCATGATAAAATGCTTTCTATTGAGGATGAATCAAAAATTATCTGCATTCTGGCTGTACAATTTATTTTAACCAACTTTTATAAAAAAGTGCATCATTTATTTATTTATTTATATAATCTCCTTGCTTTTCATTACACTTGGTCTGTCAACTAGCTTTCGTAGTCCTTTTAAAAATGTTTTAGACTAAGCTGCAAACCATGAGTGCACCAATGTCTTTACTTCTTCATCAGCAGTGCATCTTCATCCACGAATGGGTGCTTTCAGAGGACCAAAGAGGTGAAAATCCAATGGAGTAAAATCATAACAATAGGAAGAATGCTTTAA